CCCTAAACCCTAAAACACCCTGGAGTCTTCTCCTTTCCCCCCACAAACCCTCAAACAGCCCTTCCCTGAGGCCAAGAACATGGTTCTGATCCGCCCCCCCCGCCAGTTCCGTCCCTGGGCTGCGATGGCTGGAGTTTGGCTAAGCCCCATGAGGCCTGAACCCTACATTCTTCAACCCCAAATCCAATCCCCGGGTCTGTGCCTTGGAAGGTGGAGGGGTTTAAGGTTCAGAGTTTACGGGCCCGAACCCCAGACCGAGGTCCCGGCATCAACGCGTACACCGTGTGCGGCTTCTGCGCTCTTATTGCTAACAACCTGTTGCCAAAATAGGATGCGCAGTAAGCTGCATCGTTTCCTTATGGAAGCATAAGTAAGACAGGGACGTAGTGTACGTATTGTAGTTTTCTTCAGTGGACCATTTAGTGAAGTTAACCCTAAACCCTAAACCCAAAGCTCTTTAAGAGCAGTCCGAGGTTTTTTTGCGGGTCTCGGTGCCTTTCTCTGCTCCTGCATCAACCCTGCTGGCGACGCCTTTGCCCTGATCTACTTCTTCTTTGATCAGAACCCCGAGGTAGGAAGCTTTTCGAGAACCTAAACCCTAACCGCTAAATCCATTGAGTCTGGTGGTATCCCTGGTAATCCTGTTCGGGATTCTCTTTCAGAAGCTTTTGGAATGCAGGTGGAGATGCGCTGCGCGGCAGACCTTCCCGAGATCAACCCATGGTGCTATGTAAGGCGACCCAAGACCGTGGCGCGCACTCTGCTGCCGCCGAGCAGTCTCTTCCCCCCTGGCCGATCCGACGCAAGGTTGCTGTTTAGGAACTTCCACTCAGTAGCGTTATATGAAGGTACAGTCAAGAACTTCGCATCCATGAACTCTACTGCTATTCCTTGACGCAACCCAGGATGTGATGCTGTGCTTTGCTCTCAAGGCCTTGATTTTCGGTCTCTTGGGCAGCTTGCCAGTCAAGACGGATCCTCCAAACCTAGGGTTTGGGGTCTTGGGTTTTCACATTGTAGTGCTCCAGTGACTCTAGTACTGTCTGAGATGTTCGTCTTGCTTCATGTTGCCAGCTGAAGTCTCAGGCAGCCTCCTGGCGACGACGCTCCGGAAGACTTTGATGGGCTTAAAGCAGGCTCAGGACGCTCTGAGCATATTGAATGCAATTCTGATGCGATGGAACGGCGACCGCAGCGTGTCCATTGCCCACATACACACCTGGACCCGGGTTCGCGAGTCGATTCTCCGCAATGACGTGAAAAACATCTTGGACCGCTACGAGAATGTCGTAGTCATGTACACATGCTTCGCGCTGTACTTTGTCACGGATGCCAGCATCCAGATCGTCATCCGAAACCGCCCTCCCAGCCTCAGTGCCGGCTACATCGTGCTTCTCTTCATCGGCTTCTCTTTGGTTTGTCTACGCCAGGCTTGCAAGATTTCGGGGTCCCCCTAGACC